CATTTTTTAACATCATTGCATTTTTAAAATCGGGGTGCGGATTAGATTCGAGTGCGGATAAGATTCTAGAAAATACGGTAGTTTACTTTTACACGATATCACAATTCTATGACGATATGGCCACATAGAATCGGCTGCAGTGAGTTCGTCGATTTAACTTTAGCAAAAATTCCGATTCCAACGTGCATTTTGCGAGCCCCTGGTCCTATCATATGAAAGTGCGATTTATAGTTAATACTACTATGAGTTACTACTATGAACTCGATTACTGGTTACTCGGCAGCCTGGCGCGCAGAACTGGTGTCCAGCGACCACCCGGCACCCCGTCTCCTGCTAGCCGGTACCAGTTCATGTGAAATCTCACATATAAATCAACACACTCATACCGTCTGCCATCTATCCAGCGACCGATCGTGTGAAACGGGCCTTAAGGTGTGTTCGGAACACGGCCGCAATATATCAGCAATACAAAATCCGGCTTTAGAAAAAATCAGGCTCTCTAGTGGCGTGTTTGATATTCTGTTATCTGCAAAGATAACGAAGATATGTAGTTTAAGGCTATTCTATTAATTTCTTCATACATGCTTGCAAAATCAATTTTGTGTTGACTTCTATGTTTAAGAACTCTTTTAATGACGACCTTGAAGGCCATTGGCAACAGGGTTCTTGAATTGAACTTTGCTGTTATGATCGTGGCAACGTTAATGTTTGATTGCGAAGCTGTTAAATGTACCCGATTAAATTTATAGTAATATAAATTTATTTTTGTAATTCGCGACTGTAGTGCTGTAAACAGGTGCTGTAATGAGACTCTTTATAGCATCCGATGCTGTAATGATATTTTAGTAACATTTTATGGAACCGGTTCAAGTTGGTGACATTGGGTCATTCATTTTTCTAGTCGTCAATGTAACAATTTGTTTTAATAGAACTCTGAGCAATTTCTCTTATTTCGGGAGGTGTACATGAAACAATTTTTTCAGGTGAATACATTTTGTGTTTTGGCAATTTCTAATTATCAATTCAAATTTCTATTTTCAAGTGTTACGGTGTTACCAACTGCTACATACCTATTTCCCTACATTATCAAAATTTATTTTATTTTTGTTAAAAAAAAGGATAAAGACGCGAATTACAAAAAATAGCATAAAAGACACGTTTCATAAGACTTAAAGCACTCATTCATTAAAAAACTCGAGGCTTCGCCACTCGTTTTTAAACTTGAATTCGTGCATTTCAAGCGTATCTTACGAAGCTAGTTTTTTAATATGCTATTATATTAATTTGAAAAGTTTGATTGAGTCGTAAAGTTTTGTGATATGATTGAGTGTTGCATTTTGTCAAAAAATGCCGTACAAAGTGAACAATTTTGAAGAATATGGTTCCTTCTGGAAACTCAATAACACTGTAAGGTATTAATACAGTCTCGAGACAGACACCGAGATAGACGTATATACACGTGTAATGCAAAAATGTAATCAAACCAATGCAATGTTGTAGGGATACCGAGAAAGCATAGGTTTTCACCCTTATGAATCATCAGATTTGTAACATAATCAGATAACTGTACGAAATCATTTAAGTGAATAATTCTCGAAATCTTTATGGATAAAAAGAACCATATTGCATCCTGCATTCTTATTCCCAATTATGGCATATAGACATTCTCTTTTATCCACCGCCATACCTTCATTGAACTCCCCATCTGGGATAGCCTTTTGCATGTCTTCACACCATGATCTTTGAGGACGCCGTCTTTCTTTTCTTCCAGGTGGTATATTTGTTTGGGTCATCTCTCTCTCATTTTCTATGCGTTGCAGATCACCAAATCATCTCAAACATCTCTTTTCAACCCTGTGTATGACAGTTTACGTTGCTGACGACCTCGCTTTCTCCGTTTATCCTCCTCCTTTATCGTTCGAACCTCAAATATGTTTCTCCCACCACTTTTCTGACTTTATCGACCCTGTTTTTGATTTCCGTCTGGCCAATACCATTCTTGTTGACAATGGTGTCCAAGTATTTAATATGTTCTACTTGGCGATTATTATTTGTGTCATCTAAGAAACTTTCGAATTGAGTACCCATTTTGTGTACTCTGTGTGCGATGCTTTCAACATAAACTCCATGTCATATGCGTCTTGTGCTATAATTGTGTGAGTCGTCAGCAAAACACAGTGTGCACAAATGTGTGTTATTAATTAGAATGGCATACTTTGGCATGATCTCTTTCACTCTTTTATTTAGCATAAAGATCAAGCATAATTGGTACCAAGCTACACTCCTGTTTTAATCCTCCTGCATCTGAAAACTTATTTTCCCTTTTTAATATAGGCGATATTATTATCATACAGATCTTGGATGATTCTTATGAGGTAAGAGCTAATACTAATTGTGTTAAGAGATGCCATCATCTTACTTCTTGGTAAGATGCGCTAAATGAACTGGTTACACTAACCTCTATACCTGCTATTCTGCTTCTTTCTGTTGTCTGCGGTTCTACAATCGTTTATTGCAACAAACTATGAAATTGAAGCTGAAACGACATCATCTTTCGATGATTATATTTCATTGGCGAAACTGAAAAATTACTTTGGTAAAAACCAATACTGCTCATCGATATGCTTCTCGGCGGAAAACATTATAGAGCAATCACCAGACTTAAAATCAAGTTATAGGTGTATTTACAGATGTATATTTATTTTACAACGTCATTGATGTGACATTTCATAGAAATTCTGAATCTCTATCAAACACTGGTAGTGTGGAGCGGAATCATTTCATGTACAGTGCGCAAAGAAACGAATACCTTGTCCATCATAGCCATATTTTCATCTCATTCGCCGGAAGGCGTCAATGTCTTGCCCCGTTTATGCAGAAAGTTGGCGTATCTACCATGCTAGAGCCGTATTCTGTTTAGAGTTGACCAGGTTTTGCCTAGTAAGTTAAAATCAGTGATTTTTGGGTAATACATGGTATCTGATTGTTTTGCTTTGTTATCCATTCTTAATACCGAAACGTTAGTCAGGCTGAATTCTTCATCTGTGGAGCCATTCCACTGGAGTAGATTTGATAACTTCTGCGATTATTCTCATCGTGTTATTGAGCAGAGCATCTATTCTGTGGACTTGAGAACTGTTAAGCCACATTGGTGCACAGCGGTTGAAAAGACGAGGCTTACAATTATTGAGCGCAGGGTGGAAGCCGACGTTCTATTTGTTATTCGACAGAGCTTTTGTATAACATTGTTTCTTTGAATGAGCGTTGTATAAAGTGTAACGCCTAGGTATTTTGGTGTATTGTTGTGAGTAAGCCATGTGTTCTCCGATTGTATTCTAAGCTTTCTGTCGACTAGTTTGTTGTTGGCGTTTGGTTGTAGTTTTCCGAAAGTACATCTTATGATCCTCCGGATGATCTACATCTTATGGCAAGAGTTCAGGCATCGGCGTCGTCGTGCTTTTAGATCTTGTTTCTGGTATATCTGCGATATATAGGTTAAAGAGGACCGAGGTGCGGTTTCCAAACCTTGTGGCAAGTCGTTCTTGAGATTTCTTGGTGAGCTCATATCGAACCCCATGACAACTTGGGATGTGCTGTCATTCAGTATACTATTTAGCAGGCGAACTGTTCATTTACATGAGACAATATGGAGGAACTTGCAGGTGATGCCCTCTCTCCATGCAGTGTCGTAGGCTGGTGACAGATCAATGAATGCAGCGGATGTTATGAGCTTTCTTTGGAATTCCGCTTCAATATAAGTTGAAAGCGAGAGGACCAGGTCAACGCAGCACCGTTTTGGCCTGAAACCTTCCTGTTAAATCGGTGTTATATCAAATACTCTCTGACAGATTCTGTTGTAGATGTGACTTTCAAGTAATTTGTATGTTACTGATGATAATACGATAGGGCTATAGCTCTTAGGTAAGTTTGCTGCTTTCTCAGGTTTTAGGCTGGCTATCACCATTGTTTGTTTGAATTCTCTGGGTAGGTTACGAATCTGGATTATATCATTCAGGAATCTGGTCAGCTAAAGTTTAGCGTATTTCCGCTATTTATTTGGAATTCTGGGTTGATCTGTCAAGTCCTGGTGCCTATCCTGGTGTGATTTGCATTTGGAGAAATGTTTGTTTTTTGTCTTTGGGAAGGTGCTTCGCCAATTTCCTCAGCAAAGACCATGCTTGGTTGCTTGAGGTAGGAGGTTCAAATTTTTTACCATTTCCCATCATTTCTATTTGCTTGCAGCGTCAAAGTTGTGAAGGAGCTCATTCGCCACCTCTTCGTCACCCGTCTCAAGGAAGGTCTTTGGAAAAAAATTACCAAGAAGTTAATGTTAAATAAAAAATATAATTATATTTCTTAATTATGAAAAACTATTAAGGTGTATATTAAATTTTAGTCGAATCATAGAAAAAAAAATCAAGTAAAGGCCACTTTTTCTTCCTCGTTTTTTTATAAGTGGTTCTTATTGACTTCAGTAAACTAGCATTAAGTAGAGAGAAACTTAAATGAGATCATCGACTTAAAAATTCTTGAACCGTTCGTGCTATAACCTACTTGTATGAGGTCCATGCCAAAAGCATTTTTTATAACATTAACGAGCTTCATTTTCTGTGCTGACATTTTAAATTTATTTTTTTTTCATAATTAATGTTTTCGTTTTAAATATAAATCGTTATCTCATCTTTGAAATATTCAAAAATTTAAATTATCTAGCGAGAAAAACAGAAATAGGGAACATCAAAATTAACATTCTAAATAAGTATTTTACAAATTACCATTTTCATTTCCTGTTGTATTACTTGAAGAGAGATAAAACAACTTTCTAATGACTTCACTTCAATATCTATTATTATAACAAAATTCCATTCTAATTTTTTTTTTTCGTTTCATTAATTTTTGTGTTAATCTACAATGTGATGATTTAGATAAGGTTATCTAACTGTGTAATTGCAAAAGATAATTGTAATTTATGATAAATATTTTTTTTTGTTTTTCCCCAGCAAACCAGCTCAGCGGAATTAGTAATTCGGATTCCCGGTAATTTTGGTCAAGACGGAGTAGTTTACCGACTGGATTATTACCCTCCTCATGGACATCCTGCTCCGAATACAACGATTCAATCAAAGGACATCAACGTTATTAGTTTTTCGCAAGCTTTACCCGGAACTAACTATTACTTTTGGCTTTACTCATCAAATTCGACGCATAATACATTAACATGGACGGCAAATTTTACAACAGGTAAAATATGTCTTATTTTTTTTTGTAAAATATATCTCGTGACTAATAATTTACCAGATAAGTTATTGTGTAATAGAACGTTTCTTGTCAATTATTACTTCGTTTTCTGGTTGATGGTGAAAGTTAAAAGCGTAGCAAAAAAAAAGAAATCTCAAGGTGTGCTAATTTAGGTATAAATTTAATGAAATTATTTTGTTTAATTATTCAAAATCTTACATAAAAAATATGATGATTTTACAATAAACTAATTGAGTGATTAAATAAATTGAAATGAAAAGTGGCGGTAAACAATTATAACGTTTTAAAATTAATAAAATCGTTTTTAAATCAAACGACAACATTAAAGTTTATCATTTATAATTTATGTACAGGCTACATTTCTATTTATGTAGTCGTAGGAAGCAGGCCGTGAACTCTAAAAGCCCACTCGATACTATTTATATTTTTTAAAACCAGGGTTGTTTAGAATTAGATAAAAAAATCTTGTAAACGTTAAACTTTTATGTTAAGGTTTCACTTTAACTGACTTGGACGTCTTGATGATAGTATTATATTAGCACGTGCTTTACATGCGGAGAAGATATATCCCACGTGGGAAATGGATCACAGGATGTAACTGAATACATTGAACTACGTCAGAGTATTTATTGTTGTAGGTCTGTGAGAACTCGACTGAGTACTTATTCATGTGCACTACATGTTGTGTATTTATGAAATTTGATAGGTTGATTAAGTAAAAATATCTTAATAAACGATTTATAAATAATCCTTGATTTTAATCACTATTTTTGAAACAATAAATAAATAAAGTAATTAAAAAAATATTGAGTTGAGCTTAAATTAATGAGAAAGCGATAAATAACAAGATAAGAAGTTATGAGAAATCTGAAGGAAATCAAGGTGTTTTTTAAGCAAATTTAAAGTGGAAGGTGATTTTAAAATTATTTATATTCAATATAATTAACGACAAAGTATAAGTAATTACAATAACAAAGTTATATAAACTTATTTCTTTAAAACTGTAGATATGGACAAACACTATACTTTTCGTTGGCTATGTGACCTTGGTATCACTTTCAATTCTACCGAAAATGAATATCAACTTTACTATTTATGGAATATATAAGGTTTTATCTTTATTTTATTTACTTTACATTATTTCACTTATACAAATGTGTATGCAAAAAATGTTTCCTCCAATTTTTCTAGGTCTCAATTAGAGAGGATTTTACATGTATAGTATTATTGATTATAATTGGAGAACCTCTCAACCAATTTTGATGAACAATGTCTCATTCGAAAGTTCAAACCTTGGCCAATACGAAAGAGGAAATGCCCGATTCGAAATCTCTTTCGAATTGCGCTAAAATGCCAAAATGTTGCGAAAGTACACGAAAATAACACAAAAATGACCTTTTTTAGGTGATTATAAATCGTAAATGATGTACTCGATTATCAAGATATAAACATCCTTGGATGAGATATCGTTGGATTCGTATTCTTTTGGAAAATACCATAATATACTGTGTTCCATTTAAAAAAACAAAGTTGATCCATTACCATATACAACATATATTATAACAAGAAAACCTTTTAACCGATTTTGAAGAATAATATCTCATTCGAAAGCTTAATCTTTGGCCAATCCGAAACTGGAAATGCCCCACATTCATATCACATACTACACATTCATATATTGTGAAAGTACACAAAAATAACACAGAAGCGACCTGTTTTAGGTGATCATAACGCGTAAACGATGTAGTACTCGATTATCAAAAACTATACGTAATTCGATTCGTCATAGTTTCTTCTATCGAAATCACAAAATACCCGATCTCAATTCATCCCGGTTCGGTTCATGGTTTTGACGCCCGAAAATCGAAACCTCCAATAAGAAAAAAATAATTTAGATTGAATCGACTATAATTAAAGATTGCGTGAGGGTTTTTAATGTTTTATATCTCAATGGAAAGCTGGGATCGGGCTGAATGCGGATATGGAAATGCCCGATTCAAAGTATTCAAGGATTTTGATAAAAACACAAAAACTAATTAATCAAACACGTCAATTATCTCCTATATTAATTAACCGATTTTAGTCATTACCATCTCGATCGAAAGTACGATCCGCAATTAAAGCGAAGGTGAAAATGCCCGATCTCGAAATTCGCTAATTAACTGCTTACGGTTGTTCAAACAACTCAGTGACAAACAATAATTTTGAGCACGATATACACTGTTAATTAATTATCGTACCCGACGTGATCATTGCAAGTATGCAACCAAATACGCAAATCACGTATTTCAATATCAACACTGTGATATTAGTTGCATACTTGCAATAATGAAGTCGGGTACAATAATTAATTAACATAAATGCATCTCAGAGCAAAAATGTGAAAGTGCAATATTGTAAACAATGAAGATTGCTACAACTTTTATATTAAAACTTTTTTTCTAAAACGTTCCGAACATCGTGCTCAATCAACAACAAAAAGGTAAAACCACGATTTCCGAACACGATGCTATTTTCAGGGCTGCACAAGATTAATAGAAAAGAATTGAGATCAGGCATGTGATATCGATAGAAGAAACTATAACGAATCGAATAACGTATAGTTTTTGATAATCGAGTACATCATTTACGCGTTATGATCACCTAAAACAGGTCATTTCTTTGTTATTTTTGTGTACTTTCACAATATTTCAGCGGATTCGAAAGAGATATGAATGTGGGGCATTTCCAGTTTCGGATTGGCCAAAGATTAAGCTTTCGAATTAGATATTATTCTTCAAAATCGGTTAAAAGGTTTTCTTGTTATAATATANCAGAAAAGAATTGAGATCAGGCATGTGATATCAATAGAAGAAACTATGACGAATCGAATAACGTATAGTTTTTGATAATCGAGTACATCGTTTACGCGTTATGATCACCTAAAACAGGTCATTTCTGTGTTATTTTTGTGTACTTTCACAATATTTTAGCGGAAGGTGAAAATGCCCGATCTCGAAATTCGCTAATTAACTGCGTACGGTTGTCCAAAGGACTCAGTGACAAACAATAATTTTGAGCACGATATACACTGTTATAGTATATTCTCAAGGGCAGAAAATAAGCATTAGCAGCCCGAGGCTATTAGATGCGAGCGTAGCGAAGCGAGGGCAGCTAATAGATAAGGGCTGCTAATGCATTTCTGCACGTGTGACACACAACTGTTTTTCGCCTCCCATTAAACCAAACAAAATTGCAAAAATATAAAATAAAACTAATTTTATAAATCAATTAAGCAGTTTTGATTTCAACTGACGTTTAATGAAAAATTATGAGAAACGTCAAAAATGTCCGCAAATGTCAATGAAGACTAACTAGATTGTGATGAAAAACTATAAAGTAGGGACGTTCAGAGTTTAGAATCCCAAGGGCCGAAAATCTAGCTTTCAGTTATTTTTTTAGGGCTGATATGATTTACTTTCAGGTATGGGAGGCGAAAAA